TCAAAGTCATTTTGGGCTGGAGACATTTTGGGGAAGAATATATCCATCACTGGCACTGAAAGGAGCCCCCAACTCACATCCGTGATGGCCTTCTTGGCCTTCTCTTCAGCATTGCGGGCTTCCTGGATTGTGTCCTCCATTTCACTCTGAATTTGTGTGATGTCTGTTTCCAGCTTCTTATTGGTGTTGATCAAGCTGGTGTTCTGATCAAGAAAAATGCAGTGTTTTCTCCCGCAGAGTTATACCGTATTGAGAACAAAAAAAATTGCAAAAATTTATATGTGGTTTTATTTTTGTTTTATATGAAAAATATGCACTGCTGATAAATGGTAATGGTAGGCTGCCAAAGACTCATGTATATATAACTTATAATGATCATTTAAGTTCTTTAAGAACTGTAGAGACTATATCTATTAAGCTCTAGAACTTACCTGGGTATGGAGTAGCTGCACACGTTCAGTGGCATCCAGCAGCTCCTGCTCAGCCAGTTTCCTAGAGCGCTCCGTCTGCTCCCGGGCTCCCATCCTCAATTTCAGCCTGCAGCAGGTTTGCTCTGCGCTCCACCATGGCCACCTGCTCCTTCAGGTCCTCCTGAGTCCTGAGAGCATCATCCAAGTGTATCTGGGTATCCTGTGAAAGACACAAGACAGATTGTAAGCTGTGTTTTTCTCTTTTCTTATATCCTATTTTCACTTCAATGTAAAACTGAAAGGATTGTAGCATCTGAAATTTTTTTGCTTTTCCAGAAACTAGTAAGTGCCTGTTTCATTGTGCCATACCTTCAGCACAGCCTGTGTGTTCCTCAGGTTCTTCTGGGCCTCAGCAGCCTGGCGGTTGGCATGGCTCAGCTGGATCTCCATTTCATTCAGGTCTCCCTCCATCTTCTTCTTCAGCCGCAGGGCTTCGTTCCTGCTCCCGATCTCCGCGTCCAGGGTGCTCTGCATGGACTCCACAATCCTGAGGTGGTTTCTCTTCATCTGGTCGATCTCCTCATCTTTCTCTGCTATCTTCCTGTCAATCTCTGACTTCACCTGGTTGAGCTCAAGTTGGAGGCGCAGGATCTTCCCCTCTTCATGTTCGAGGGAGGCCTGAATAAGAGAGAAACACCATGTCAATAAAAGACTTTTTTCCTACAGTTATTCTCTTCCAAGTTAATTCCTACACAGGAAAATGGGACTATTTTGCTCTGGCTGATGTAGAAATTCAGGCCTTGACCTTCTGTAACAGACTCAAGGTTTTATCTCTCACACTGCTCCTCAGTATTTCTCTCTAGGAAACATTGATTATGGGTATATACCACAGCTTCCTCCAGGGAGGCCTGGATTTCAGTTTTCTCCTGCTCAATCTGCTTCTTGACTTTC